TTTTTTTAATTAAGTCTGACTTTTACATAACATTTGGTAGTGTAAGTCTGACTTTTACTTAACATTTGTATGTGTTTTAAAATGATATGCAAACCCTTTTGGTAAATCTTTTTATTTTCTGTAATAAAGCTAAAATTATGGCTAAGTTTTTCACTGGTAGATGAATTGGTTTTAGTTAATGGAATGCTATTGTGAGATCAGCAGCTTTTAGTCCTTTTGACAAAATGACATTGGCACCTTATACAAAGGTTCTGTGGTTTTTTTGGTGGAGGGGGAGTGTGCATTATGAACAAAGCACAATGGAATATGGACCTTGTGTATGTGGAGTTTCATTCTCATAATCCCTGCATTTCACAACATGATACCTCTAGACTTAATGCAGACTTAAAAAAGGCTAGTTATCTCAGTTTCAGGAACATGATTTCAATGTCATCTACAGTTAAAACGGTTCAATATTTCATATAAACAACGTGCACTCTGTATCCATCACTATCTGAGACTTTTACATGCTGCCTTTCTTTTCAGTGTTCTTAATTTTACTGGGAAGAAAAGACTTAACAAAACAGTTATTACTTCTAATTCCAAAATATTTTCAGTATAAAACATTTCAGGAGTAAGCTATTCAGTTTCTGATATTTCATCATGAGCAAAGATACAGCAAATCATTGCTGTTTGTTTTTTATTTGTTTGAATTAGAAAATGCACTTATACTAAAGAAAGCTTTGCAATGTAGAGATGAGACGCTGGAGATCAAACTTCTTTTTAACATTTTAGAGTCAGTCAAGAGAGTTTGTTATAAGGTTTTAGTTTGGTAATCTTTTAACTGTGTATCTAAGAATTACGGCATTAAGATCTTGGTTTTTTATTTGGGGAAAGGTGAGAAAAACATCAGAAGTCATTGTAATTAATGTGTGAGAATTAATTAAAAATCAAGACAGTGAGATTTTAATTTTGATTAGAGGCTAGGAAGAAGACTCCTGGAAAAATTTTAATTTATCCTTTGCAAAGTGAACAGGAAGTCAGTTATTTGGGTAGCCTGAATTTGAGAAGATTGTTTCTACCTGAGGAGAATAGCTGTAAAGTCGGAGAGACACATACAGACCCACTCTCTTACTTACTCACATAATCACTTATGATTTGGAGTGTAGTTAGATACTGAGGATCTCATGGATTAGGGTCTTTTGGTTAATACTTCTAGGAGTCAATGCTGAAACTATCTAGACGCAAAGGATCTAACAGATTAGAGTGTGTGTGTTTGTATTTTCCTATTAGTTCAGTAGTGAAGGCTGAATCTGGGAGCTGAGTTTAGAGGTTGGAGGTGGTAGTTTTTGAAGTAGTATACGTTCTTCAAATGTCATCTTATGAGGAATGTCATACATAAAGCAAACACATGAGGAACTACTTTGGTTGAAGGATGGAGGGGAGCTGCAGAGCCCTGACACCTGCCTTTCCACGGTGGCTACTCAATCTTCATGTAGAATCCTGAGATTTGAAAATACAATAGAACCTCCATAGTTGACCTTATTTTCATAGGCCAGATATATACCACATATTGACTTCTTTATATTGATCACCTCTGTATGTTGACCAGTTCACTAGAGTCTTTTGGGTGGTT